AAATGAACATTTTACATTTTTATTTACATATTGTTTTACCTGAAGATAAGTAATCAGCAATTAATGTTTTCATTAGTGAAAATATAAAGTAATAATCTTTAATATATAATTAAGTGTGATAATCTTAATTACTTTACTTTCAATATTATTATTGTTTAATAAATGAAATAATGGTATTTATATCTAGCATTTATTGAATATATATTATTTTTAATAGTAGGATGTATGTAGGATAATTATTTTTAAATTGTTGGTAATTACCAAAAATAGAAATGTGTTAGATGTAATGTTGATGATAACTTCATGGCTAGATATAATAATGGACCAAGCAAGATAGTACAGAAAAAAGTATATAGATAGCTTATCAGCTGAAGTTTGGAAGTTATTAGAAGTTTGATAGTGAACGGGTGACTAAATAAATATATAAATATTTAATAAAATATTCTAAGATGAAAAGAAATGGAATGAATTTAAGTTTGCTATTTGATATAAATTTAAAGAGATAAAGAAAAGCATCATTGCCATATTATTAAATTGTGGTATTCTTACCGGTATTTAGTCTTGATATCAAATTGTGGTGTGTAATAATAGGCTAGATTTCAAGTAGTTGCAGTTAGCCATCGAGAACTTTTAAGAGATCTGGGGTAGAGCAGCCACCATTTGCCATACATAGGTGCTTTTTTATTAATAAAAGTAGTTTTAAAGATTTTATTTATTGTTAATAAGTTAACATTCAATTTTAGGGATAGGAATTGTTATGTGCGTCTAAGTTTTCCATGGACCTGGGGAAAAACTCCAGCTCCTTTCTCTTGACAGTCCTGGTTACACAAGAAAACATATTTTTGAAAGCTATTTGATTTTCTTCTTGAATAACATATAACAACCAGTTTCTAATTTAAATAATTGACACATGGGTAATCCTTGGTTAATATATATTATTTTAATATATTGGTTCATTAATTAATTAAGGAAAGTTTTGTACTACACTTCACTTTTTTTTATATAATATGATTCTGAAGATCACCATTAGCTGGCTTATGACGAATATACGAGGGCTATTTTTTAAATAAGGTCTGTTTGTGAATGATAGTGAAAATGTATGTAGAATATGGGAAAAAATATATTTTAATGATATTTACAGTATTTTCACTATATACTATATATATATATAGCTTATTAAAAAATAGACCTTATTTTAAAAAAATAGCCCTCATACTTAACAAGCTATTCATAAAGAATGTATTCTTTGAGTATATTCTTGAGGAATATATATATTCATTTAAGTGATGTATTAGTGAATAAGTTATATTAAATACATATTTCTTAAGAATAATTAAAATTAATTTTTAAAAATAACTAAAATTTATGTTTTAGACAATATAAGTAATTTAGAATTGATGCATTTATTTTTGATTATACATTTGAGACTTTTCACATTTCATGATCTTACTCACATCAGATCGAAAGAGTTTTGACACAGGTTGAAATCTTTCACACAGATCTGAAGATGAATGTAAAAAATGAAGGTAAAAAATGTTTAATCAAAAATAAATATTTTAAAGATATCTTCTAACCTAATCACCAATACTAGTGATAACAGTAAATAACCTTTACTTCCGGTGACAAAACTTTAATAAATCATCAAACAAATGCTTTCAACCTTATCCATGGTCTGCTTCAGGTTAATAGAATAATTCCAAAGTTGAAATGCTAGAAATAGAATGTTTTTGAACATCAAATTTAAAATGTTTCGAACATATAAAAATAAAAACTTAACAGTTGTAAATACATGAGTTCACCATATACATATAATGCAACTCCTGTGTACTTATTATTTGAGGGTATAACTATTATTATTTACTGGCATACTGCACCCTCAAATAATAAGTACTACACATAGTTGTAGAGCACAGAAGTATAGTTGTTTGATGATTTATTACAGTTTTATCGCTGAAAGTAACTGTTATTTAATGTTATAATAAATATTTTGACTTTGAGTTTTATAGCAAACCTGTATATTTTGTATGAGAAATTATTAGGCAAAGTATTCATATAATTTAAAATTATTTTCTGATAGAAATAATATAATTTACAACTGGCTCAAAAGTCAGTTTATATCAGGTCAGTCCATAAATTTGTGTGCACATGTGGTTAAATTTTATTATGAATTTTTTATTCTGTTTTAATCCAAAATGTCATTGCTTTTCACTATATCTTGTCATCTTGAAAGTAACTTTTTAATTCTACTTTCATAAAAAGTTTTCAGTTTAGAATCAAAATATTCAGTAACTGTATTTTCAACACTATTTTTGTTAACAATTTTTTATTTTTAAATGTTCTGCAAGACTTGAAATAAATGATAATCACTTGGTGTCAAGTCTGGTGAATATATTTGATGAGGTAAAATTTCCCAATTGTAATGTTACACTTTGTTTTGCAGTGTGCAGTTTGGTGTTGTCATGTTGTAGTAAAACATTCTATTGATTACTGGATGGCTAGTTTTTTGTAATTTTTAATGTAAATGTTCACAATATATTGCAGCTGTAATTGTTTGGTTTGCTTCCAACAGCTCAAAGTAAATTACATCAGACATGTCCCACCAAACAGACAAAAGAATCTTTTTTGGCTGTTGATCCCGATCTATTTATTGTTTTTTTCTTAATGCATTATCATAAATGATTCTCTTCTCATCTCTGATAACAAGTGGATCAAAGAAGGGTTTCAAAGCAACATGTGAAATTAGAGAAAAGCATATGTTTACTAACAGTTACTGATTAGCCAGCAATAATTCATGCAGCACTTATTTTTTCTAGCTTTGACATTTTTCCAATTTCTTTTAAGTGTCATGGATGAATTTGAACAGTCTGTAAGTTCTATCAACAATTAAATTTGCTTCTGCTGCTACTAATGCTGAGAGAGCAACATTTTCATTTGATCTTCCTAAATGAGCTTTATCCTTCAAACTAAAATCATTCTTCTTAAAACTTTCAAACCTTGGGCAGCCTGATACTAATAACATTAGGTACTGTGTTAATTTCCTTTGCTGCACTTTGTAGCATTTTTACCATGTAAACACAAAAAATATAAAATATGTTTTGTATTCATTCACAGTCTTCATTACAATGGGTTAAATAATAACATATTAAAAACACAATTCTACTAAACTTAGCAACTATTCAACTGTATTTCAGATCAGTTTGAACTTGATCAGAATTTATTTGCACCAAAATATGTCTAAACTTCAGTGAACAAAATGTGCATGGAATTATGGACTGACTTGATATATACAGTATGCTTAGTAAAAGTCTTTTTACACCTTTTACTGTGGAAATTGGAGAGACTATTAGATGTGCTGTTTTTTGAATATGAATTTTATCATCAGATCAAAAATAATTATAAAAATAAATGAATTAAACTGTTGAAATAACAGCTTATAGAAACTTTCTTGTCATTTCTTTTTCAAAGATTTGACCAAGATAGTAAAAGTCACCCACTCTCCAGTCTAGATTTGAATCCAGGGAGCCTAGTCCTAATACTTTTAGTAATATCATAGTTTCAGTATCCACTCACAACAGGAAGATTGTTGCATATTCAAACATCAATACCATTTATTAATTAATAATCTGAGCATTATAATAAGCTCTTTGTACGACTTCTTACACACTATTGAGAACTCAGAGATTGATGAGCGTTAAATGTTTATTTGTAACCACTGTATGCATTTTGGACAGACAAGCTGTCCCATCTTCAGCCGTTACAATCACTAAATTACAAGCATATAATCCATACTTGTAAATTCATACGTATATCTTGTAAATAACCTTCCAATTAACTATTTGTTTACTCAAAATATAAAGAATTTAATTTTTCTGCCATTTAATCTATAGCTATATAGGCATTAACCTTAGAGATTATTATTATATAATTAATAATAGTGGGACAAGAAGCATAATATTAAATCAAATACCATTTTATAACTTAACATACAATATATTTACTCATGGTATAACTTTGAATATGCCATGTAAGCCCCCCATTGCAGTTGGATACCAAAACTTTGATATTATCAAAAGTAGTTAAGGCTAGATCCTCAAGTTGGCTCAGAAATTTTTGGGTTAATTTTGTTACATCAGACATTGACTCTCACCCCTGCTATTTCTGTTCATTCCTGGCCAATCTCATGTTGGGTATAATAAGATATATTTGGGTACTGGAATATATATGTATATACATTCCAGGGTGAAAAGAATTTTTTTTAAAAATTTGAACAAGATAAACTGCTTTATAAGGAATAGATAAATATGAGGGATTAAGGTTATTTTTATAAAGTGGGAATTCTTAAAGCAAATGCTTATGCAAGCATTGTTTTAAGTTTGGAATTACTAATAGTCAATTTACTAAACACAGATTATTTTAGCTGTATTTTGGCTAATTACTAATTATCATTACAAAGTAATTTGATCAAAAAAAAGAGTCTAGATTACTATCTTGTATCAATAATTACATTAATTTTTCAGTTAAACTTAATAATTTAATGTAAAAAATTTTGTGTTGATAATTAATAGTTAGCTAAGATATAGCTCCTAATAATCTGGCATTATAAAGTTTTGACTAGTTTGTTTAAATACATGTAATTTTTATTAAATTGGAATATATTAATAGTTAATTTGAAATTGGAAAAAATTTTGCCACTTATAGAATTTAATATAAAAATTATTTATTTATAGTCAAACCTCCAATAATGGCCACCTCTAAATGACAGCCATTTTTTAGGAATGATGAACAAAAATGCATACAAAATAACCTTCAAATAAAATAAATTATTTAATGTTCCTATCAGTGGCTACTTTTCAGAGGTTTGACTATAACCATTAAAAAGTATAAACTAGAAAAAGTAAAATATTTATTGTTTGTAGTTTATATTATGTTTATTTATTTTATTAATAAATAAATTAATTTAAAAACTTTTAATTAAAATGGATATTTTTGATTTCTTCCAGGGCATTTTTTTGGTTACTTTCTTTACTATTATCATCTCTTTTGTGGTATATTGTCTATCCCTTAAGGAAGCAATTAGCATTTGGTGTAGTGTTCTCAGTCCTGTTTCAAGAGACGTTTCGTTTCTGTTTTTATAAATTGTTGAGGTAAGGTTTATAATGATTTTGAATAAGTTACGATCAGTTTTTATTTAAGTTTTTTATTTTTTAATGAATTTAGAACTTAGTAACTAAGTAATAAGATAAAAATACTTTATTGAAACTTGTATGAAATATCATAACTCATGACCAAATGATCAAAGTAGTTAAGTTATATGTCTGCCATTTTGACAAGCTTTGAATCTTTTATGGTGATCAGGTGGATATGTCAGGCCTAATCTCTTATTATTTGGCTATTTCATTATAAGTTTGGCTGAACCTGTGATAGGCATTCAAAGGAAGAAAGAGCAAAAAATAAACATAATTTAACTCAAAATTTTAGTATAGACCTATCATATAAGCAACATCCAAACTTTCAGTAGGTTAGAACTGAAATTTGGATATGGTTTATAGTGCATAAGAATATAATAAGGCCATACAATTTCATCAAGGCACTAACAGTAATACCTTTCAACATATGATATATATATTATAGCTCATACAAAAATGGATAAGCAAATAACTTAAAAGTGTGTAATAGGTTATCTTGATAAGAACTATTTTCTAACATTAAACATGTTTAACCCAAATTTTACACCTCCAGTAAAATATTGTTACACAGCATGAAACCATGGTAGAACTACAGTGTGTTGTATATGACAATAGAACATTGTAGTGTACCTTTACTTAAGCTCTGCCATTTGCATCAGTGATATAATTACTGGCTTCAGGCAGCCAAGTATAAATCTATGAGTTAGTTATACTGTTGGCACTATTTTGTACTTTATATTAAATAAGTTCCCGAAACATGATTTTTATTTGAAAATATCTGTGGTGACCAATTGGAATTAGAGGTGTGTGACAATTTTTAGGAGCATTGTTTCACTCATTGATAAAAGTTTGAATCTTATATCTACTATATAAGTTTAACTCTAATTTTGAAGAAATTTTTTAGGTTTAAAAATTAGCTTATACATTCCTATTTATATGATGAATTGTACTCCTTGATGATGATAGGCTAACGCTTGAAAGTGCAAAAGTTGTCTGATAAAGCCTTTTATTTTGTTAGCTTAATGAACTTTACACTTAATTTTACACATTAAACTATTTAATTTACTAGCTAAAATACATATAAAATGACATGAAAATTACTTAAGTGTAATGTAGAAATATGTAACAACACGCAGTACAAATGCAATGTTACAACATATAACTAGAAAGAAAGTGTATACACCAAGATTTGTTAATGATAAATTATAGTAGAGCATTATTTATCCGAATCAATTGGGGACTAGGGTTGTTTGGATAACTTATTTTTCGGAAAACTGATTATATACGAAAAAATATATTAACCTATCCTATGTTGAAATTTTTCTCTGTTGTGTGTCACTTTGCATTGAATTTTCATTGATGTTAAGCCTAAAGTAAATTTTTATAATAATAATCGTGGCTATTGTATTGTTAAAAATCATTTCTTTATTTTGTTTGTACAAAATATATTTAAAAATATAAAAGCAAATAAAAATTATACTTTAGAAGTTAATCTAGTATCAAAAACGTTCGATTTAGCATGACACATGTCCAGACACACAGTCCTCAGAAAAACACCACACAAAAGTGCCAGTGCTGCCAGCTAAAACACACACACCAACAAAAAAATATTGGAGTAGCCCAAGATATAGCCAAAGGTTGCAGTTTCACAGCACTAGCAGAAATTTAAATTTGCCGACTGGAACACTTTTGGTTAACCGACATTTCGGTTGACCGGCTTTCAGATAAATGATGCTCTACTGTATTATTAAACAATATTCATTATCTCCTCATTAATAAATATATTATTTTAATATTTCTGAAATTCAAATTAGTTTGGGAAGAGGCCGCTAGGGGATTTTGTGTGTGTGTGTGTTCAAAATCGAGCTCCTCGATTTCTCGTGATTTCGATAGGTTAATCTGTTTCTAGTCCAGTTTTTTTGTGGTCATCTGGATAGAACTTGTGATTGTGACTCTTCTGATACCAAATTTGATAATATGGACCCAATATTTTTGGAAATATGAAGACATAAAGTATACGTTTTTTTCGGACCGATTTTTCGTAATCCCTACGACCGTTTTTCCGGAATTGTGAACGGTGGAGGACAATACATTGAACGGTGAGTTAGATCTCCAATTTTTGTGCATTTTGGTCCACCCGTTTTTCAGTTTTTGGACTTTTTCGTTTGACATTCGGCGGCCCGCATTGGGCCTACATGTTGAAATCCGTGAAAAATCTTAACCTGTCCGGTAGTGGACCATAGGTGCTCCTTACTGAATAATTTTGGAATACTTAATTCAAATAGAATTTGAATGGCGACGAATTAAACTTTTGAAGACTTTTTCCACTTCTACTGCTAACGGTCTGACAGCGGTAATAACGGTCGTCAACAGACTTGAATCGTTGCTGATCTGACGTCATCGCTTTCTTAGTGATAGTTTTCTTTGTTTTCCGAAGATAAAACTTCTAAATTAGACAGAAATAATGGAAGACTTTCGCCAGGATGCCGAACGCATTATTCAGGAGACACAAAAATATATCACTGCTAATAAGGATGACCGACTGGGGACTGCACAACATAAGAAGTTTATAGTGAAACAACTTAACAGGATGATTGAATTAACTGAGGCTGCTGTCAAGAAAGCTTGCATAACAGAGATTCCAAACAATAAAATAAGGAATTTAGCGACTACAGACGATATCAAAGAAGCCCTGGAGATTTGTAATAAAAACATTCAAGAGGCTGTCCATAATACCAAGCATGAAATCAGTGAATTGATTAAAACCAATATTATACAGAGTAAAAATGAAACTTCTGTTCCATCTGTTCCGTTGTATAGTGCAATACTAACCAGAGGCTTGACAACAATTCAACCAAAGCCAAAACCATCACCACCTTCACCTACCTGTACAATACTGGTTTATAGTGAAAACGAGAACTTTACCTCTGAACAAACAAGAGCAACTTTGACCAAAAGTGTGGACCCAACAGCAGCTGGCGTAGGGATAAAAAAGATAAGAAAAATTAACCAGGGGGGAGTCGCAATTGATGTTTGTGATGATTCAGATGCTGAAGTTTTGGAATGTTTATTGGAGAAAGTCTCGGGACTCAAGGCTCGTAGAGGAAACCTACAACGACCTCTTATTAAGATCGTTTCGGTTCCTAAGTCTATCACTAAAGATGATCTTGAAAAACACATTTGTGAACAAAATTATTTGGCGCTTCGTGTTGAAAAAGATGAATTTCCAGATCATGTTAGAGTTAAATATGCATTAAAACAAAAAAACAGTGAATATCTTTCATGGATCATTGAGGTCAAGCCAAGTATCAGAGAACGATTACTTAGGGAGGGAAAGATGTACATAAAGTGGAGTAGTTGTCCGGTGTTCGAATACATTCCAGTTAGACAGTGCTTCAAGTGTCTAGCTTTCGGACATTTTGCAAAGGAATGCCCGTCCCCAAAACGTGTCTGCAGTCATTGCTAAGGTGATCACTTGTTTAAGGACTGTATAGATTCAGTATCTTTACCACGTTGCACCAATTGTGTAAAAGAAAAACGTGAACAATTTCATCACAACGCTATGCACAAAGAATGCCCTAGTTATATAAGAGTTAAAAACCAATATTTACAGAAAGTCACATGTAAGGACTAATCTATGTATACTGTTTTTTCTGAACATACAGATCTATTTTGTATTTTAATCTTGTTAACGAGTCTAGCTTTCATGTTAGGCTTCTGCCAATTGGTACAGTATATAATGAGCTTTGTTTATAACTAATGCAGTATTGTAAAGTATTGCGTTATACTGTACATTCTGGTCTCTTCTCACGTACCTCATGTTTGTTTTGTATCGTATTGTCTATTTTTATGTATTTGATTTCATTGTGTTTCGGGAAATACTGTAATTTTCTCTTGTATCCCATTAACTGTGTCATCAGGTAATGCCAAACGCGGGGCCTGGTCTTGTACTTATTTTTGGTACAATAAAACATAATGAATGAATGAATGAATGAATTCAAATTAGTTTAACATGCTGTGTTACATAAACAAAACAAAAAAATAATTTATAATGCAAATCTTTATATATTTGCTAGCTGACTTGATATATTTTATCTTCTTTATATTATTAGTTTTATTGTAAACAAAGTGTTTTAAATTCCAAAAGTCATTTATCGGTTTCATTTTTTAAGGACATATAAATCTGTAATTTATTTGCATATTAAATAGAATTAGTTAATATAAAGATATTTGCAAATAAATTACAAATTTATATATCCTTAAAAAATAAAACCAATAAATGATTTTTGAAATTAAAATCCATTGTTTACATTGTTAAAATAAAATGATTCAGGAGTATACAGTACAAAATTTCTACTATATATTTACTAAGTAGTAGAAATACTTTTTTATGATTAAAAAAAAAAGGGAGAAATTTGTTCACCAAAATGTATATATGAACTTTAATTACACTATTTTACTCTCTATTACTGTTATCAAACATTATAGTAGTAGAATTAAAAATTTACAATTTAATTAAATGTACAAATAATTATAAATTTTGTGTGCTTGAATTTGTTAAAAAGTAAAGTAATTTTTTTAAACAACTTTTCCAGGAAAGCTGAAGTTGGATTAAAAAAAGTTGAAGAAGTAGGAGTTGATGGAACGGCAGTTTCTAGTAATAGAAATACTTTAGCTTATGGTAAATATTATAATAATTCTTTAAAGTATTATTTTTTTTATTGCGTATTTAGTTCCATTGATGATTATATATCTATGGTAACCACATATATATTCAATTTCTTTTTATAAACTTTGTATATACTACTTACACATATATAATATTCTTATAAGTTTATTGATGTGAGGTCCAGACCACACTTAATTGTGCGGGCGAGATGTGTCCAAACTAATGGTTTAAGTGATAAATTTCTTGTTTGAGATTTGTGAAGGTGAAAGAACTTGGTATTATAAAACTTGTTTGTCACATTTCCTATTCGATGGTTGTGTGAGGGAAGGAAAGTGACATTGATATAAAACTTTGCATGTATATGGTTATCTGGTCAAAATTGAAAGAGAAAATACTTTTGTGGAGGTAGGAGTAGCTGGAAATTTTGTAGATATGGCTCAGCTTCTCTGAAAGGAAAGAGAAACACCATTTTCTCTAAATTTATGGTCTGTTATTTGGGGAAGTGTAATTGAACACCTCAAGGAGAGTTGGATCTGCATGTTGGTGGAGGGATGCCTATATACTCTGTTAACAACAAGGCAGAGACCAATTGGAAAGGAAGAAGAGGCAGATTGTGACCAATCTGAGCCTGAATTTCAGGAAAGAATTGTATAAAAACTGTGTTCTCAAGGATATGAGGTTCTATGTATCTAGTATACAAACATGAAAGAAACTAGGTCTTTTCTTACAAAAGTTGTAAAGTACTATGTTATTTTTCTGACTTTTCCAACGATTATCGACATGACTGTGTGCCTGAAATAGCTGTTACCTAACGGGTACTTTACGCAGATTCACTTTAATGTGCCAGGTCTGGACTTTAAGCAAAGTTAGTCAAAAACAATCCAATATTTAATAAAAATTCTAGTAATAACTATATACAAAATTTAGTAAAAATCAAATAATTTATTCAACGTAAATAAATAAGAATCAACGCGACAAAACTCAAATCAATATATTTTTTAACTTAAATCTATTCCCCTTTGGAATTCGACAAAAATTCAAAGACTTAACTTATGTACAATAATTCTTATGAATTAAAGGTCCAAATCGTAACCTCAATATACTAGGAACCTTTTTCCTCAACTCTCAAGACTTTCTCTAATCTTCGATCCACAAATTGAATAACTTCAAAATCGCCTTGGAACTACTTTGTCCTATCGGACACCTCTCTCTCTCTCTCGTTTGCTGATACGAAGCTCACCATGCTCGTTGCTAACAGAAGCTCACCTTGGTCATCTTCACTTGAGGTTCAGTCTTTATACTGTGAGGTGATGTCACAATTCTGAGTGAGATCACTCTCCTCATTTACATACTTATTTGCTAACAATAAACTTTTTCTGTTTGTCTGGCAGCTTATTTTCTGACAATACTTGCTAACGTTTTACATTATTCTTTTTGACAATTTTCGGGGTGTTTTTATTCTTTAAGGTTTATCAAGTTCCTAAGTTGTGCTTGTGGGGTCTCCCCCCCTTTTCTCAGTGCGGACTTACTTTTTTCTGCTCGGGAGCGCACGTGTGCGCGAGTTTTAGCTATGGCACTTTTCTCTCGTTGTTGCATGTATGGTGCGTTCTCTTCTCTTCTATTTTTAAGTTTCTAAGGTGAATGGTGAGGAAACCTTCGTCCTCACAAAACATAAGCCCCAAACAAAAATATAATAAAAAAGCAAAATAAAAGTAAATAAAAATAATGCTCGGACTTGGTTCCTTACAAAGTGACTGAGTGTCTCTACCTGGTCATATCTCCCAAGGGTAAGACCTGACAGCACCTGGAGCAGATCATCTCTGAGAGAAGGACCATTCGAATGTCTTGACTTTTTCACTTACCTTTATCCCTCACAGTGGTGGACCAGAATTGGAGTTTGGACTTTGTTTTCTTTTGTTCTCAAACTGCTTTGAAGTGATTGTTGGATGTAAGCATATTTTGTTACACTACACACACACTTCACTTCAGACCAGTAAATGGTGTAAGTTTTGTGTCTGCCATCATTACTCCTATACAGTTCCATCCTCTAGAGTCATGTTGATAAAATGCAAGCATGGTGAGAAACCCTACTCCTTAATATAAAGTAAAAGTTTTTTATTAACATAGTGTTGGTGATATCTTCACACTGACTATTAAGCAGTGTAATATATATAGGGATTATAAGTGTAACTGGCAGCTTAACCTTGAGCAGGCAACTGAAAGCTTAGGGTAACATTTGCAAACCCAAAGGAGTTAAATGATTGTTTATTTAGCCATAAAGTGCCAGTGAAGTAACAATGATATTTACTAACAGGTAACTATAGTATTCTAGCTTATATATAATATAAAGGATGTGACACATGTATTTCTGATAGGTAATGTATGGCTCATACTGTGACAAGGTTTGGCCACCCTGTTATGTATAGTTCTGTTTACAGTCAGTCATTTCTTGCTATACTTGTTTAGATTTAAGGTACATTATTTCACTTCATAGTATTATTATTATATAAGTTGAGGATAAAGTAATAAATAAATCTCACTTCTCACCATTTTTTAACTGGATCTGACTTATAAGATCAGTATCCTGTTTTCTGAGTATCTCTTCATTGTTCTGAATTCTTTTGATTGCAGTTTATTCCAAAACAGTTTTTATACAGTAGAATCCACTTACTGTTATTAATCATCTAATACTATCAGAATTAGCATTTTAAAATTATAAACTTTATAAAACTTTACTTATTGTATTGAGAATTTTGATGACAGTTATAAAGTTATATCTTCAGGTAAATAGATGTTTTTAATCTGAAAAGATAGCTTACCTTAAAAAGCTTCTATCAGTCTTGGGATGATAATTTGCACTGGTAACTAATGGTAAAAACTAAAATCAATTGTTATTTCTTTTAGTTTTCACCAATTCTATAAATGTTAATAAACAAAGTGATTAGCATTTATTTGCTTACAATATAGTAGCTTAAATTTCTAGCATTTTTTACATGTTACAGTAGCAACCATGGAAATCTCATCATCTGTGATATATATCAAAAATCATCTAACAGATGTGCAAAGTAGCATATTTAAGCTATTGTGAGAACCGAGGGGGTAGAGCGCCGAGCTTCTCCCCACTTATTGGTTTCTTTGTCTGGGATGGTCAGTGTGGTCAATGAATATGAGGGAGAGTGAGATCGTGACGAGGTGTTGGTTGTACTCAAGGATGACACATAATTATATATATAAGAATAACATATTTAATTATCTAAAGCTATACAAACGAGTACAAATCAAAAGGCTACAAAAAGGGAATAATCCAAAAATATTTCTATATTGCGACAAAATCTTTGGTCGTCGATAAGTCATCTAATATCTAGCCTCTATAAGGCACAATATCATCTAAGTTCAACTAGCCTAAGTTCAATCTCTAACAGAAAAAGCTAGAGAGACAAGAAAGAGAGAGGGTCAAAATTTGTTCATGTGTTACCTCACAGGTTCTGCTTTCCTAGTATGGGTCGTCTTTGGAATGCTCCTGGATCGGTGGTCCTCTCCTTTCAGTCAGGTCAGGTTCATCGAGGCGATTATGGCGGGAAGGCAAGGGTGACGACGGGCGGAATGGAGGTGTGAGTCTGGTGTCCCCTGATGTCCTTCCGGAAGGCTGTNGGCAGCAAGAAAATAATAGTTGTGGTTGATCTTGAAGAGATAATCATGCACCAACTTTCTCATTATCTTCCACATCTGTGCCATAGTGTATACCTAACCTCTAAAAACCAATACCGGTGTGTTTTCTCCAAAAAAAAAAATACAATATCACAAACGTTTTCAAACATAAAGTTCTTCCTCAAGTGAGAAATGGATGAAAAATTGAATAAAATTTGATGGAACACTTTCTGAAAGAAAGAAAGTGTTCCATCGAATCACAGACCAATTTACACAGACCAAAAATCGAATCACAGACCATTTTATCACAGACCAAAAATTTTTTTGTTATGATCCATTACTTAGATAATTAATTTATGAAAGAGGAGGACAGGATTACTATTATGGACAATTTGATAATTCATTCAATACAATACGCAGATGATGTGGTATTGGTTTCACCGACCAAAATAGGTCTTCAAAGAATATAAATTTAACTCAGAGATACTTTTCACAGATGGGATTGAAGATCGACCTGAATGAACCTTTTTCCTCAACTCTCAAGACTTTCTAATCTTCGATCCACAAATCGAATAACTTCAAATCGCCTTGGAACCACTTTATTTATCGCTATCAGACACCTCTTGTCGTTTGCTGCTACAAAGCTCACCACGCTCGTTGCTAACAGAAGCTCACCTCGTCATTTTCACTTGAGGTTCGGACTTTATACTGTGAGGTGATGTCACAATTCTGAGTGAGATCACTCTCCTCGTTTACATACTTATCGCTGACAGGCAACTTTTTTTTCTGCCTGGTAGCCTATTTTCCGACAATACTCGCTAACCTTTTACATTATTCATTTTTACAGTTTTTCAGGATGTTTTATTCTTTAAGGTTTAGCAAGTTCCTAAGTTGTGCTTGTGGGGTCTCCCCCCTCTTTCTCAGTGGGACTTACTTTTTTCTGCTTGGGAGCGCAAGTGTGCGCGAATTTTGTTTTTCTATGGTGCTTTTTCTCGTCGGTGAGTTGGTTGTCTTTCTTCTATTTTTAAGTTTCTAAGGTGATTGGTGAGGAAACCTCTGTCCTAATAAAACATAAGCCCCAAACAAAAATAGAATAAAAAGCAGAAAAAAAAATAACTAAAAATAACGCTCGGACTTGGTTCCTTACAAAGCTACTTCTTTACTGGCTCAACTGAGATGAGTTCTTAACTTGATTTGTCTCGTCTCTCAGGCAGCTCAATATCTTATTCTTCTCTCAATCTTCTTGCTGCTTCTTTTTATTTGAACCTCTGACCACTGGACAAACCAATCCGAGCCCCAAACTGATGCTGTCAGATCAAAGGGTTACTGAACTGAAATCAAAAGTACTGGCTACCGTACGAGGGTTTTACCCATTTCTCGAACCGTGTCAGAGTGAATCCGTGCTATAAAAGTACTTTGTTATATGGGGGATGGTACCAATTCTTGAACCGTGTTAGAGTGAATCTGTGCTATAGAAGTGCCGTGTTATACGGGGGTTATCTGTATATATTTTACTACTCAACAAACTGTACAAAAAATGTTTAAAATGAGATCCTGTTTAATCAATGACATTACACAAATTATCACTTTTTTAAAAACTTTTTGCCTTGTGGACACTAAGGGAGCCTTTTGATCAAGCTTATGAAGGGTTTGGCCAGACCAGCAATAGAGTGGCTAGGTATGAGTGACAAGGCCTGACATATCTGGGTCAGAGTACCCATGAAAACTTGCCTTCAGTTTTCCAACCTGTTAATTTGATCCTGTATTCCCAGAGCATTAGATTGACACCTTAACCAAGGACATATGGTCAAAAGTACACCTCTTTAACCAATTCAGTTTATGATTTGTATTCACATTATATCTGAAACAAAAAATAAAATGTGATTGATTGACTTTTGTCCACCCTGTAAAAACAATCAAAATTTTATTATTATTTTGATCAAGAATTTATATGTATGCTTAGATGCGTAAACTTTTAAACATTTGTTTATTAGCTTTTAACAAAACATAAACTGGAAATTATTGGATTCTTAATTGAGACATTTATAAAAATCAACTTAAAATTTTAGAATTACAGTATGAATAATCTTATTTGTCAATTTAAAAAGTTGTAATGAATTATGTATATATAATAATAAATATAATTACAGTTGCTGGACTTGGATTTGGTGTTATGAGTGGTGCTTTTTCGTTGGTTAATGTACTTGCAGATTCTTCTGGGCCAGGAACAGTAGGTTTGAAAGGAGATTCGCCTGACTTTTTTCTTATTTCTGGTAAGAAATTTTGGTTTTCTGTCATTTTCATATCAGTTTTTGTTCCAAATTTGTAAAAAAATATCTAATTACATTATCTGTTCAAATAAAAATTTTAAGTCAATCTTTTCAGAATCTTCAAACAAAATTATAATTTAACTCAAAATATGATTGTATGTATGTATAGTCTGTTCCACTCAGATCTATGAGAAACATGCCTCTACAGTCTAGAAAGAAGTATTCTCACTTTATTTACAGTTTATACATACAATTGCTAATTACACTCTGAAGTCCCCAAATTTGAATTCTGTGGTCAGATTTCATGTTAGATCTGAGTCACTGGTTCAAGCTGTAAAGTACTAAGTTATTTTTACGCCTTTTACAACGATTAGCGACACAACTTTGTGCTGGAAATAACCATTACCTAGAGGGTACTTTACGCGGATTTGCATTAATGTGCCAGGCCTGGACTTTAAGCGTGCACCGAAAGAAATAATGACAAAGTTAGTCAAAAAAACAACCTAATATTTAATAATAATTCTAATAATGACTATGTACAAAATTTAGTAACAAATCAAACAACAATTTATTCAATGAAAATCAATAAGAATCAACCCGACAAAACTCAAATCAATCTATTTGCTAACTTAAATCTATTCCCCTTTGGAACTCGACAAAAAATTCAAAGATTTAACTTATGTACAACAATTCTTATGAACTAAGGTCCTAATTGTCACCTCAATATATTAGGAACCTTTTTCCTCAACTCTCAAGACTTTCTAATCTTCGATCCACAAATCGAATAACTTCAAATCGCCTTGGAACCACTTTATTTATCACTATCAGACACCTCTTGTCGTTTGCTGCTACAAAGCTCACCACGCTCGTTGCTAACAGAAGCTCACCTCGTCATTTTCACTTGAGGTTCGGACTTTATACTGTGAGGTGATGTCACAATTCTGAGTGAGATCACTCTCCTCGTTTACATACTTATCGCTGACAGGCAACTTTTTTTTCTGCCTGGTAGCCTATTTTCCGACAATACTCGCTAACCTTTTACATTATTCATTTTTACAGTTTTTCAGGATGTTTTATTCTTTAAGGTTTAGCAAGTTCCTAAGTTGTGCTTGTGGGGTCTCCCCCCTCTTTCTCAGTGGGACTTACTTTTTTCTGCTTGGGAGCGCAAGTGTGCGCGAATTTTGTTTTTCTATGGTGCTTTTTCTCGTCGGTGAGTTGGTTGTCTTTCTTCTATTTTTAAGTTTCTAAGGTGATTGGTGAGGAAACCTCTGTCCTAATAAAACATAAGCCCCAAACAAAAATAGAATAAAAAGCAGAAAAAAAAATAACTAAAAATAACGCTCGGACTTGGTTCCTTACAAAGCTACTTCTTTACTGGCTCAACTGAGATGAGTTCTTAACTTGATTTGTCTCGTCTCTCAGGCAGCTCAATATCTTATTCTTCTCTCAATCTTCTTGCTGCTTCTTTTTATTTGAACCTCTGACCACTGGACAAACCAATCCGAGCCCCAAACTGATGCTGTCAGATCAAAGGGTTACTGAACTGAAATCAAAAGTACTGGCTACCACCATCACCGTCTGCTTTGACTGGCAAGATTTTGAGGACCATAAGCCATGTCTTCCAAAACTTGGTCTGCCCTTTGTTTCACTAAGCTTACGATTAATAAAGTTAGGCCCAGTTAACTATATCAAATAACTCAAGCAGCCAGACTAAGATTGGACTCACAGTTGTGACAATTTACATAAGTTTTCAACTTCTTATTGTTTACTATGTAAACAATAAGAAGTTGAAAATGTGAAAAATTAGGAAATTAATAGCTATGTATAATATTTATTAAAATGATTAGTAATGAATAATAAACAATTCTATAAAATTTTCATTTGATTTGTCTTCAAATTTTCTAAACAGAATATTAAGATTTATTGATATTTTATTAAAAATTCTTTTAAGGGTTTATTTCATTAAAGTTTTTACATATTTTACATATATATACACATAATACATTTAAAAATTTTTACATAATTTAAAATAATTATTTTCTAGATGGATTTTTGTATACAAGTGGATCCTTCACTACAAATACAGTGTGATTTATAAAGTCTCAATCCATTTTTGTGAGAATGGTAATAAAAAATTACTTCTTGCAAGCTGTGTGAAGCATGCTGATCCAAGAAAAGAGAATTGATGTGGTTTGCACATGCTTGAGTGGATTAACATACACAAACATATTGTCAAATTCTCCTGTTCCATAGACTTCAAGGGATCATGACACATCACTTGGGAGGTGGCATAGTTCTCCTCCTCCAGCTTATGCAATACCTGAATACTCTATGCACACTTCATGAGTTTGTGGATCTTTGCACTGTCAGTTGTAGCAAAGTGAGTCCTCTGGCTTAATTTTGTGGTTGATGATGTAGACTGTGTTATTGCAGTTTCTACAGGTTGAACTGTTTTGTGCATTATGGTGGGTCTCTTGAAACATTGTGCATCCTGTACATATCTGCTTGCCTGAGTTTGTTAACCAACAGTCTGATATTGCTTTCAGTGGAAGTTTGTTAACCAACAGTCTGATATTGCCTTCAGTGGGAGCAGGCTTCCTGAATTTCTAGGTGAAGTTTGTCAGTACTTCCACATACATTAATCCACTGAAACATGCACAAACCATACTAATTCTCTCTTCTTGGGTCTAGCATATTTCACATAACCTGCAAACAAATGATTTTGTTACTATTTTTATAAAAATAGATTGAGACTTTATAATTACCCTGTATTTAATACAGTAGCTCCTTATATATTGTGCTAGTTGGGAGACAAAGAAAAAGCATGATATATCCTGTGGCATGATATAACCAAATACTAAAAATTCTAGGCTTTTACTAAATAGATTAGGTATACATGTTACGGAATCTCTATCCTCTATTCTTTCATCAGCAAAAGAATATTATTTATTTCATAAAAGTAGATAGAAAGAGCGATTAACTGAATATATCAATGCAAAGAGAATATCTAATAACCTTATAAAGGCCAAGAAAAGAAATTACTGCAATATGTTGAACAGAAGATTATTATAAAAAAAAAAAAATAATAAATATTTTTGGTCTAACAACTAACCTCTAAAAACCAATACCGGTGTGTTTTCTCCAAAAAAAAAAATACAATATCACAAACGTTTTCAAACATAAAGTTCTTCCTCAAGTGAGAAATGGATGAAAAATTGAATAAAATTTGATGGAACACTTTCTGAAAGAAAGAAAGTGTTCCATCGAATCACAGACCAATTTACACAGACCAAAAATCGAATCACAGACCATTTTATCACAGACCAAAAATTTTTTTGTTATGATCCATTACTTAGATAATTAATTTATGAAAGAGGAGGACAGGATTACTATTATGGACAATTTGATAATTCATTCAATACAATACGCAGATGATGTGGTATTGGTTTCACCGACCAAAATAGGTCTTCAAAGAATATAAATTTAACTCAGAGATACTTTTCACAGATGGGATTGAAGATCGACCTGAATAAGACCCATATTATTGTTTTGAAAGGGAGGTAAGCTGGCAAGGCAAGATCATGACTTTTATCTGTTTAGTGAAAAGTTGAAAGTAACTGAGGAAATATTATATTTGGGGGTTCTTATTACCTCACTGTTGTCTTTTGGAAAACATGTTCAATGGATGAAGATCAATATATAATAATTAATAATTTAATTAGTCTGTTAGTAAAAATGAAAACCAATTCTATTCAAATGCAGTTTCAACTCTTTTTTTGCATTGGTTTTTAACTCTATTTGCTATGCTCTTCCATTATGGGGACTGGACTGGTTATCCTACTTTGAAAAAATTCAATTGTTATTTATAAGAAAAATCTACGGACTAGATAAAGCAGTGCTGGGATATGCGATTCGACATGATACCAATAGGTTGTTATTAGAACCCTACTTGGTAATTAGAATCATGAAATTTTTTAAGAGTCTGTTAACTAGTGAGAATAAACAAGTTAATACTATACTAAAAGTTTTAAAGAACTTGGCAGAGAATAAAAAGAATCATCAAAACAATTGGTATAAAAAATTGAGGATTAAATTGGCAAGTTACGGTTTGTCTCATTTACTATTTAACAGCACACGGAAACAGACTGGAATTACAGAATATCTCTTTCGGTGGAGAATGTGTATAATAATTCAATTGAATGTGAGATGAAAAATTTACAGGAGTCAAAATTTCACCCATGGTATATAGATAACTTAAATTTACCTCCAGCAAATAATTATATTCATTATAAAATACCATTTGGGATGAAAAGATTTTATATGCATATCAGACTAAACAGTTTTTATATTATAGTTGAAGGGAATTATTTGGATATCAGGAATAAACAATGTAGGCTGTGTAATGATCAAATTTCTGTATATCATATAATTTGTTTGTGCAAGGGTTGCAAGCTTAGAGAACAAACTGGTATTTCCACTTTGTCAGCCAATAAATCTATGCAAGAACTCTACCAAAAAATATTTGGTATGAGTTCAATTATGATTACCAGAACATATCATTTCTTTATTAAATATGTTAAAATGGCTGAGAGCCTTAACGAATGATTTCTAAATTTATTTTTACTGTTATTCTTACTTCTATATAATATTATATTACTTAATTGATCAAATATGTGAATAGAAGATAATTTTCATAATTATATATTGTCAAAAGATATATTAAATATTTACTAATATTTGTAAGCCAATGCACCCCTTGTAACTGGAATTTCCTTTAAATTATGCTAATGAATTTGAATATTGAAGATCTTTGTTATAATGGTGTTGAAGATTGGTGTGTAATGAAGATCTTTTCACAACCTACCAATTATTACATTTAATATTATATAATGTATTTCATAATGTTAAATTTTAATATGTTTTCTTTAAAAAAATGTGTTTTTATTTTCTAGCTTTCACCACATTGGCCTTTATTCTGTTGCATACTTTTTGGGGAGTGATATTTTTCAATGCATGTGACCAGAAACAATATTTTCAAATTGTTTATGTTCCTGTTTCTCATCTATTCATTTCCTGCCTAGTAAGTAAATCACAATTATTTATAATTATGAAATATTAAGTATTTAATAGCTTAATACTCTTAACATTGAATATTCTTAAGTAATATCACACTTGTAAGCAGGGCTGGAGTCAGTAAAAAAAACACTCGACTTCAACTCCAGCCAAATTAAATACCAAGTCATTTTATAGAGGGGTAGAGGTGCTCATAGGGGGTACCCTACTCTGAACTCTGAAAGGAGCCTGGGGCATTTACCCAAATACTTTTATAGTTAGTATTTTTAATATTTAACTTACATTAATATTTATTTGTATAAAAAAATTAATTTTTAACAAATATTTAATAAGAGGAGAAAGGGGGTGATAAAATTCTACATCTACATATATTCGACAGCATTTGCACTTCNTGGATGTTAAGTTGACATAAAAATAAACTTTGAGTTAGTGAGATTTTCAAGTTAAGAAAGTTCAACTTATCAAGAGTTTACTATTTTAAGAAATATCCAGTAATCATAATCAAGTACCACTATTCAATGCTGTCTAGAGATATTTCACAGTACAAATGCAATGAAATCTGGTGAAATGACATTTCAGGACACGGAAAAAACATTTCTGTAAAAACAGTGAGTACAAAAACTCACACTACAGCACTTCTGACACAGCAAGCAACAAACATTTGTTTTTACAAGATACTCATGTTTTACAGAGACCTTAGTAATGCAAAGAATACTGCTCAATGTAATCCCCATTTTAAAAGTGTAAAATCTTATGAGCAATGTATTCAATTTCCAATCATAACTAATCCTCTGTGATATCTTTTTCATGCAGTGTAATACTGTTTTTCAAGAATGCCAAATTTGCAACATATCCTCAACTTTTTAAGTATCACCATAACCAAAAGTCATGCAAATTAAGATCTGGAAATCAAAGGACCAAGCAGTGGGAACATATGTCTAATTACTCTGTTATTGGTGAAATGTTACTGAAACTGCTATATACAACATTTGATATGCAGAGCCGTGTACATCACTCCATCTTGCATGAAAGAAAACTCAAGACATTGTTACTGTTGCAGTTAGGGCACAACAAAAGTATTGAGCATCTCAGAACATGTTGCAGACCCATTGAAACTAACTTCTTCAAAGAATGGTCTAAGTATGAATGTGACTATGAATTCATGCTTGACTAATTTTAAGTGAGTGTAATGGAATCTGCTAAAATATATAAAAGTTTTCCTTGTCCCAAATGCAATTGTTAAGGGTGTGCACTGTTGAAAATGTGAACTAATTGCTCCATAGGATTTTTCTATGGCCATGACACATTCACTTCCATTTTGGCAAGGAAAGTCAATGCAAAAGTCAGTCGAATTTCCTTGTAGGCAGCAAGAAAATAATAGTTGTGGTTGATCTTGAAGAGATAATCATGCACCAACTTTCTCATTATCTTCCACATCTGTGCCATAGTGTATACCTAACTAAGTTACCATGACAATGCACAAGCACTACTTGAGTCTGCAACATTATTCATTTACTGTTGAATAACAGCTGTTGTAACATCTTTAACAACTTTGACCAGATTGAACTGCTAGACAGCCACAAACTGATAATCATTTTCTTGAGAACTTGTAGAGTAATATATTGAGAACTTGTAGAGTCCTCAATATATATTCTTAAGACAATGAAATTTTTGAAGTATACTGCAATATTTGTTTTCATAAAACAGCTTCACAAAAAATGCATATTCCAGTAAGGTGATGATAATTGTAGATGATCAGAAACAACATTCAACAGTTGTGACTACTTTTATACCTAGAATTTGGCTGCTTGTGCAAAGGAAATTGCTTTTTTTTGTTGCTTGCAGCACTGAAAGTTCCATAATGGTAAGTGTTGATACTAATTTGTTTTATAGAAATATCTTTCCCATGTCCTGAAATGTGATCTTACCAATTTAGTTGCATTTGGACTGTTAAATATCCCTCCAGAAACCATTGAATAGGTGTACCTTAATTATGGTCATTTGGTATTTTGCCAAATTCATTATTAAAAAAAAATTAAAATATGCTAAGTGAAATTAAAATTAAAAACTGATATCTTTCAATTGTATTATAATAAACATTATTGCTATTTGAGAATTCTTATAATATGTATAGATTAATTATATACATCATCAAAACATTTAATTTACATTGTGCAATTAGTATCATTATAATGACAAAATTTTTGATTTAATGAATATTCATTAGAAATGCAAACTGTTCTACACAACAAAAATATAAGATCTCAAATCAGAATTAATATTTTTTAGTCCCTGTTCAATAACAAACTGAGAAGAGAACAGCAAAGTCATTGGTTCAGGCCCCAGATACATTCAAAGTTTTGTTTTTATTAATGAAAAAATACAATATGATAATGATGTAAATTAAAAGTTATTTTCATAAACAGTGAAAAATCTGTTTTTTATTTGTTTTCTTTATATATTTTTAAGGCTTTTCAAAAAGGGATGGGAGCTTACATTTATGACTAGATCCATCTTACTTTTCTCAGGCCATGTTCAGTGATCAATCATAATAAAAATGCAACTTGTGACATACTTCATATACTTATAGGCTATAATAAAATCCAATGCATTAAAGGATATTATTTAACTAGTAATAAAATATTAATTGATAAAAAATCAGAATTTAATATTAAAAATAAACTACTAAATAGATTTAAATTACTTCCGTAATTTTTCTTTAAAAGAATTACAGTAGAGTGTCGTTTATCCAAATCAATTGGGGACTGGAGTTGTTCGGATACTTATTTTTCGGATAACCGATTATGTACGAAAAAGTATATTAACCTATCCCATGCTGAAATTTTTCTCTGTTGCGTGTCGCTTCGTGTTGAATTTTCATCGATGTTAAGCCTAACGTAAACTTTTTAAAATAATAATCGTGGCTATTGTATCGTTAAAAATTATTTCTTTATTTTTTACAAACAAAATAAATATATTGAAAAATATAAAAACAAAAAAAANTTGTGCATATTGGGAAGCAACAGGGGAGACAAGCTGAGAATGGTATTTTCCTGACCATGTTTGCTTTCATATTGCAATTTATTAATGTAATCACACAATTAATTACTTAGCTGCACAGTATGTCACTTATTGATTAACATTTTATTATAGTTATGTATTTCTGAGATTGTGTCTTCCTTTGTTTTTTTCTTTACTACTAGGTGCATAAGTAGACACAAAGCATTTTACATTATCTTTATTAATCTTCCATAGACTGAAACTTGTATCGGCCTATGGAAGGTTAAACCCTACACAAAGAAACCAATTGGTATAAACGAAAATTCAGAGAAAGTTATGAAATAATGAAAATTCGAGACAATAACATCAACAAAAGCTTAAATATTAAAATTCATGATAATTGGCTAAAATTGTTGTAATACTGTTTATAATACTATCAACGAAAACAACCACGATAACAATGGTAATGGTAATTAAAATATAACAATAATAATTAAAAAAGGATTTATTTATAGTATAATAGTTTCGAACGAAATATATATATATTAACTAAACATATACAAATATATATGTATATATTAAACTAATAGTGTACTGTTAATAGTGTAATATTAAACTGTTGATTGCAATTTTCACACCTTGTGAAAATTTTAAAGAAATGACAATAACAAATAACAATTTGAAATTGACAACACAAGTGGAGAAAGAGTGTGCCATCATGAGAAAAAAACTGCTCTTGTGCATATTGGGAAGCAACAGGGGAGACAAGCTGAGAATGGTATTTTCCTGACCATGTTTGCTTTCATATTGCAATTTATTAATGTAATCACACAATTAATTACTTAGCTGCACAGTATGTCACTTATTGATTAACATTTTATTATAGTTATGTATTTCTGAGATTGTGTCTTCCTTTGTTTTTTTCTTTACTACTAGGTGCATAAGTAGACACAAAGCATTTTACATTATCTTTATTAATCTTCCATAGACTGAAACTTGTATCGGCCTATGGAAGGTTAAACCCTACACAAAGAAACCAATTGGTATAAACGAAAATTCAGAGAAAGTTATGAAATAATGAAAATTCGAGACAATAACATCAACAAAAGCTTAAATATTAAAATTCATGATAATTGGCTAAAATTGTTGTAATACTGTTTATAATACTATCAACGAAAACAACCACGATAATAATGGTAATGGTAATTAAAATATAACAATAATAATTAAAAAAAGATTTATTTATAGTATAATAGTTTCGAACGAAATGTTAATATACTAAAGAGATTAAAACAAATTACGTTAACACAGATGTCAAGAGTATATGCTGGAAAATGCTAGATGTCGAACCATGAAACCTTCACTGTAATAGTAATTTAAATCATAAATATATTTTAAACTGCAATGATATTTTAACGATTTTAACTGTAAATACATAATTTTAAAGTAAACGAAAAAACATATATGTAACAACGAAACATAAAGAAAATTTCAGATGTAATGGTATGTCATAACTTATTATGATAAAACACTTATAATGTAAGAAATTTATAATATGTTTTATTGTGTGGCCGATGGATGAGGCGCCTTGCCCGAAACATGTATTGGCCTATGGAAGATTAATAAAGATGATGTATTGTGTCTATTTATGCACCTAGTAGTGAATAAAAAAACAAATAACATTTTATTGTTTACATCATTAAATCCATAGTAAACATTTTCTGAATCATCAGATTTAAATGGCTACAGAAAATAATAAGGTATAGATTATGATGAACTCACAAAAATACTAACAATAACAAACAGCAATCTAATATAAATAATATCACATTTCCAAACATTCTAATTGGATGTAAGTTTCATTAATTCTATATGCAAACTTACAAGCAGGGCTATGGAGTCGGAATTGGGAGGAATTTCTGGCCAGAGGAGTTGGAGTCAGAAAAAATGTGTCGACTCTGGCATTTAAAATTTAATTTTAAATTTTGCAACATGTTCTGTGACATG